GCTACCATTCACAGGAGGGTTTGTTCCAAACAAACCAATGCAGAACAAGGTGTATTCCTTTGATCTGACCAAAGTAGATGCCTTGTTCGATGAAATGTTGCTGCAGAAAGCAATAGAGACACCTCACAGAATGCCCAAACCAGAGGAACTCAAGGGCAGACAGTATTACAGATGACACAATTCTTGGAATCATTCTACCAATAGTTGTGTTGTTTTCAGAGATGTCATACAGGAAGGGATAACAGCAGGAAGGCTAAAACTGGCAGAAAAACCTCAATCCGTCACCACAGACCCTTTTCCCCCCACCACAAGTTAATATGGTCAACCTAAGTTGGCCAAAAAGAAAGACAGACCAGCTATAGAGGCTGGCTCCAGTAGAAGCAGAATAGTTCTAAAAGGGATTATGGAGAGACCAAAAGCAACCATTTCAGCTGGAGTAGTGCTCTGCAGCAGGTGCAAGTGCGAAGCTGAGTTGGAAGTGGTCCTGGAAAGACAGGAACTGCCCACTCCAAGTGTTTTTGACCGGATTGGAACCACGCCCCATGATAGAGCCAGACAGAGAAACTACCCCAGACCTGTCCAATCCAGTAGAAGAATGACTAAGCAGCCCAAGGAGGAAATATCAATAAAAATGCCCGGAAGTGAGAAACCTTTGGATGTCATCATTGAAGGCAGGTGGTATTCTGTCGGGAAGAATGGCAGACCAACAATGGAGCTAACAAGAACTCAAAGGAGGAGGGTTCAGAGACAGTACTGCACATTCCTCAATAACAAGAAAAACGCACAGGTGCTTCCAGAGGCCAATTCTGCCAAAAAAGGGAAAGAACCAGAAGTACTTCCCCAGACAGAACAAGCAATATCTCAACCACAGAGGTTGACGAAAGCAGAATCCTTAGAGAAACCTTCTATCCATCCTGCCTTCATCTCAGAAGATCTACTTAACACTCCCCAACCAGAGGAAAAAACCGATCCTATTCCAGGAGAAGGACAAGAGGATTGGGCTGAGGAGTATGAAGAGGAGCAGCTGGATTATGAACCATCTGCAAATGACCATAATGCACTCCTCGAAACAGAAGAACTGGGAGAATGGACGGAGGAGTACGGTGGAGAACAGATGGATTATGACGGAGAGTTGGATGCAGAAACTGAGGCCTTTGGTGCAGAATTGGAGGACTTGTTACGTGCTGACCTAGGCATCAATATGGTGTTCATTCTGCCAGAAAAATTCTGGGCGATAGAGGGACAGAAAAACACTCTGGACGGAGATGTATTTTCCCAAGAGAGTTTTGAATGCAGGTTGGCAGAAGCGGAAGAGAGGCCAGAACAGCAAACAGGCAATCCTAGTACAGAAGGAACCACCAACAAACTGGCTACAGGTCAGCTTTGCTTCTCCAAACCAACCAAAGATATGACAAACCACCTCAGACCCTTGTTTATAACAGCAAACTTTGGGGGTGTTCCTATCCCCAAAATTATGGTGGATGGAGGTGCAGCCATCAACCTTCTGCCTCACAGAATGCTGAGCAAAATAGGCAGAACAGAAAGGGATTTAATTCCAACCCGCTTGACCGTCAGCAGGAGGCATCACCAAAACCCTTGGGATCCTAGATGTGGATGTTGTAGTAGGAAGCAAGAAGCTGAAGGTTGCATTCTTTGTGGTAGATACTACCTCTACCACTTACAATGCATTACTTGGCAGAGACTGGATTCACCAGAGTCTATGTGTTCCTTCCACTCTTCATCAACAGTTAGCTTTATGGAATGAAGAAGGCTACATGGAGATAATAGAGGCCGATCCACGGCCATTTCTACCTTCTGCCATGTGTTGTGAGGCAAGGTATTATCATGATGACCTTGGTCCTTTCACCTTCTTTGGAGTCAACCAGAATGGCCGTCCCCATGGTGTCACGACCCAGAGGCTCATTGAAGAAGGTCTAGCCAACTCTTTGGAGGATTGGAACAGACCTTTTGTCCTAAACTTCCAAAACTCCGATGTTTAGTCCCAATCAACAAGAAAAGGATCGAGCAATCCGGTCCATTACAAAAAGATTGTTGATATACTGGGAGGAAAGAAAGCTTTTTGTGCAGAATCCAGCCATCAATATGGCATAATTCACTCATGAAAGCACGGAAGGCCAGGAGGAAGAGGAACTACAGGAGGAAGTGTTAGATTTCGCACCAGCTGCACTGGATGACTCTCTGCCAGAAGTAGAAGATCCTTTGCAGGAAATAAACTTAGGAACAGGGGAGGATCCAAGGCCTACCTTTATCAGTGCACTATTGAAAGAACCACTTAAGAATGAACTCATTACACTTCTATTTGCTTGGCATTATCATGAGATGCCAGGATTAGACAGGGAATTGGTAGAGCACAAGCTGCCAATCAAAGAGGGATACCTACCAGTCAAGCAGGCCAGAAGGAGGATGTCCATGGACACAGAACTGAAAGTCAAAGAAGAAATAGAAAGGCTGCTCAAGGCAGGATTCATCAGGCCTGCCATCTATGCTGATTGGCTAGCTAACATTGTACCGGTTCTAAAAAGGAAAACTGGGGCAGTCAGAATCTGCGTGGATTACAGAAACCTGAATGAAGCCTCTCCCAAGGATGAGTACCCTATGCCAATGGCAGACATGCTAGTAGATGGAGCTGCTCACAACCAGATGCTATCTTTTATGGATGGCAACGCAGGTTACAATCAGATCATGATGGCAGAAGAAGATATCCACAAGACAGCCTTCATGTGTCCAGGGCATATAGGTGCTTTTGAATACACTGTAATGCCTTTTGGCTTGAGAAATGCAGGGGCTACCTATCAAAGGGCAATGAATTCTGTTTTCCACGATATGATTGGACATTCCCTGGAAGTTTATATTGATGATGTTGTGATTAAATCACCAGAGGAGGGAAACCACATGACAAATCTAAAAAGAGCATTCCTAAGAATGAGGCAATATAAACTGAAAATGAACCCAATGAAGTGCGTTTTTGGAATTCAAGCGGGAAATTTCCTAGGATTCTTGGTCCACCAAAGAGGCATAGAGATCGACAAAAACAAAGCAAGATCCATCATAGAAGCTTTGCCACCTAGGAACAAGAAGGAATTGCAAAGTCTCTTAGGAAAAATTAATTTTTTAAGGAGATTTATATCCAATTCTGCAGGAAAAATCCAGCCTTTCTCTTCTTTGTTAAGATTAAAACAGGAACAAACCT